GCATGCTTATGTACTTCCCAACTGACAGTACTAAATATTTTGTACCCATCATGTCATGTGAGTTTTAAACATGCAATAACTATTATTGATTTTCCTAGCAATGTCTTGTGAGCTATGTTTGCTCTGATTTTCCATAGAGTATTTCAAGGGCAGAATCATATAGATGTGAGGGGGTAATTAATTATAAGAGTGGTATATTTAAATAATTTGTCCTTTTATGTTTTTTACTTTGTCCGCTTTTGTACTAATTGTTCGTAATCATCCTCACAGAGCCGCAAAAATTTCAAAAAATCCTGACAACCAAATCATCCGTAATTTTTCGTTTTGATAACTAATATAAAGCTTCCTTTTTGGGAACTCATTTTCTTATAGTGAAGGGTCGAGCTAAATTCAAGGCAACAACAATAATTATTTATAAATTCCCACTCCCCCTCCCCTAAAGATTTAGTCTAGTTTCGCCCCTGCAGTATTCTTAATAATTATTGAGGGATTTACATATATATCGTCTTATATCATTCTATTTATTTATCTAACTCCTAAAATTTTATTATTGCATGCATACCACCTATTGATCACTTCACATCAAATATGAGTGGTGGGAATAAAATATATGGGTGATAGGCAGTGGCTGAACAAGCCTTAATTCTTAGGAAGGATTGGGATCATATAAATAAAATAAAATATAAATAAGATGAAATTCAAAACAAATTCTTATGTTACATTATAATTGTTAAAAAATTTAAAAGCTTTGCATTATAATTATTTGACTTATTTATGTGATTCAATTCTCTTGTAATGTATAATATATTTTCATTCATGTGAAATAAGATTTCTTATTTATCTAAATTTTAAAATTTAATATCATATACATAATTTCATATAATTATGATCATTTTAAGTGACATTATTTTTCTTAATTAAATAATCAACTTAATACATTATTATCTAGATGATAATATTTTTTTGGAAAATTTTGGGGCCTAAGCCCATATATTTTTATGAAAAGTAAACATTATAAGAAAATTGTGAAAACAAAAAACTACCCATCATAAGCTTAAAAACAAAAATAGCTTATGATGAAATGTAAAAACCACAACTATACCACCCAATACATCCAAAAAACTATGTAAAAGACCAAAATGTGGTAGTATACTCATATCTTATAGGACTCAGGCTGCAGTCCGAGCTGAAATACTGATTGGAGTAAAGCTTCAACGATGCTCTAAAAGTCCCCTGGTTGCTGAGTAGACCCTCCAAGGGGATCGTGGAGCTGCAGCAATCATCATCGTCCTCAGAAAACCCCCAGGCAACATGGATAGGGACAGCAGTCCTGGTTGCCCCGAAGGCCATCCAGGTGAAAATGGGAAGATCCAGCGGGAAGAGAAAAACCTGCTCCAAGCTCTTAAGAATACATAATGTAGAACATTTTCCATCCGTAATACTAACCACAGAGAAAATTCCATCCAGGGAAATAGTCAGAGAAACCAAATTAACAAACGATCCAGTGATAGCAACATTAGTATAAGGATGATCCCGAATCACAACCACAACAACACCTCCCACTAAAGAAGTTCCAACATAGCATACCCATTTTTCCATTTCAAAGTCTTTGAAAAAACTGCACTTCTTACTTTTTTTGCTAATGGTAGTGGAAGATGCAAAAACATTGCCAAACCTCATATCTTTCCTTTCCCTCCAAAGGTGATAATAAATTGCACAGCAAATAATAAGATTATAACAAGGCTTCAATTTAACATGAACATTACTAAAGCATTCAAAAGTCTGTAAAATATTTGGCCTAAGCATTTGACTAGCCATATTAGGAATAAGGTTTGTGATTACCAGAAAAGAGTAATCACATTCGAAAAAAGGGTGGGAGATGTTTTCATTTGCTTTGTGACAGAGGGAGCAGCAGGTATTAATATTAATACCCTTAGAATTAAGTACATCAGCAGTTTTTAGTCCACCCAGGATGGCCATCCAATCGAAGGATGAGCATCTAAAAGAGTGATACTTGTGCCATATGAGATGATGCCAGTTATTCAAAGGTTCATTCATGAAGAGGAAATTATGATAAGAACTATGCACATTGTCTTTCCTTTCACCCCAAGTGAGGCAGCCAGTAGAGTTAACCTCTACAGAAATATATAGAATGGCAAAATGGAAAGTTACAATAGTCT